TTTGTTCTTGATAAATATATCTTCAATTGTTAATCAGATTTATTAGATTCTACTGTTCTTGAAAAATATCTTTAATTGTTTATTTAGATTTACTAGTTTTTCCCGTCTTCTTAAAATGTTAATATTTAGATCTGAGAGAGAAAAGCTCTCCATTCTTCCTAGAATAGAACTATAGAAACTAAGCAAAACATTGATTCTCCAGCAACCAGCCTTCTCCGAAGAGTTTCACTCTGGGCAGCATGGGAGTGGGGAGTATCCACTGATCTAAAAGTTGATAGAGAGGTGATGCTAGATACATTTTCTTCTTGAGTGTTGAGAGAGAAATTATTGAATGGGATACTATATCAATGATCCCTCAGCACTGGGTTCACATGATTGAAAAGGGAGCAAGGTGTGCTACAGTTATGATTCTAGTCCTATTGCCCACACACTTATGGTCATTGGTGCATGGGTCTTATCAACTAGTTGGGAATATTTCTTGAGGACACATTCATATTGATATTAGTCTTGCAAAAAAGCTTATGCCTTGCTGTTAAACAATGTTTCTTTCCTGTATAGTTTTATTTTCTTGTTTTCCGTTCTAATGCATCTTTCCATATGCTAAAGTCCTACCTTTTTCTCTTACAGCCTCACGGGTGGTTCTATCGTGGGGGATATAGCTCCCTATCAAGCTTTTGCAATTGGCGGTCTTGGTAGTGTCCGAGGGTATGGTGAAGGAGCTGTCGGTTGTGGTAGATCTTGTCTGGTTGCTAACAATGAACTGACGTTTCCTTTGGTATGTTTTGATTCGTAAATTGTTGGATCTTTGCCTTTTAGGACAGTTGTTTGGTTCCACATCTTGCAAAAGTGTTTTCTTATTATCATTCTTGTCTCTTAAGTTCCTTCATGATGCAAAAATATGAATGAAATCTTGCTAATTTCAAATGGCGTGCAATGATTCAGAACCAAAAAAATAAAAAGCAACTGTGTAGCACAGACTTGAGAAATGGATTTGCTTATTTTGGTTTTTGAAAAATCTATTGTGCTTAGTATGAAACAGAATACAGTTATTTGAATCTGATTGTGATAAGGTATTATGGTATTATTTGTTTTTAATATCTATGAGCTTTTCCAATCAAGCTTGAGCTGGAAATACCAGTGACATTTAACTCTTTAATACAAGCAAACTCATAGGATCTTCTGAGTTTGAAATTAATAATGTCATACTTTGCCAATCACTTTAACTTTGTTGGCTTTTGAGCTATGTTGCTCGGACTCATCAAAAATAATTTTGTACCCGTGTTGGATCCTCCAAAAATGCATTTTTGAAGGATCCAACACGCACCCGTAGGCATTTTTGAAGAATCCGAGCAACATAACTTTTGAGCGGGACTTGCAATGGTTTAATTCTTTTTTTTTTTTTTTTTTTTACTTTGATTCTTTTAGTACCACAATGTCTTCTTAGACTTTTGATTATAACTTTCTTTCATCTTTCTGGAGCATTATAATACAATATTTTATGTTTTAGTAGCAGTAGGGCGGACAGACTCTTAAGTGGTGTTAAGGCGGATGCATGACTTTTTATTGGCAATGTTGTCCTGTCTTAGTTGAAGAATTTGACCTTGAAGAAATGTCCTGTTGTTGTGTAAGAATTGTATTGTAAGATAACATCATGTGAGAGTGCTTTAAAGTCAAAAGAACCTTTCTTCTAATTTGAAGAAAAGAATTTTATTAACAAAAGTTAGTTATCAGAATTGATTGTTAAAAAGAAGAGAGGAAACAATTTGTTGTAAGAAATGATTTAACAGGATATCAAATGTAAAATGCGAGTTGTGTCCTCTTATCTGCGCCTGCAAGAGAAGGAACGGGGTTCCCTTGTTTAATTTGTCGCTTACTTGCTTCCACATTGTCTGTGGAATTAGTAGTTACAAGTTTAGATGCTGGTACGTCTGATCCCTTTGGACCTATTAAATATTATATTGTGGAGTCTCACACCCAACGCTTCTTGTCCAGAGCCAGATGCTTGATGGTGCTGTCTTCTTGGATTGTGGATCTGACTTGGGCTCAGGTCGTCATGTGCCCGGTTAGTACCTTAGTAATTTTTACATCATGCAGAAGGTTTGCTTAATGTCACTGACTGCTGTTGAAATTTAGAAAACATTGATTTTGATTATTCCTTTTGGAAATGTTTGAGAATGTCTGTTTGTTTAGTTGTATCGTCTTTCTTTGTTTTCTTATGTTGCTTCAGTTAGGGTTTGGGAAGGAGGGGCTGCCATTATATATGATAACTGCAAATGATTGTTTTGAGAAATTATTTTTTAAAACTGTTTTTTTTTTCCGTGTGTATTTTGCATTTTTTCTTTCAAGTTGTTTGTTTCATGCTTTTTATCTGCCTTACTGCTGTTGGGCCTGTATAGAGAAGGTTACTTGTTGTAAGGGTTTCAACCTTTTGTTTCCCATGAAACTGTTAATGATTTAGCCTATGACTTAAGCAGTAAAGCTTAATATGTTCTGGTTATGGTTAAATGCTACTTTCGAGATCTAACTCCATATTTAGGTTTCACTGTAAAAACGTAGATCCTCATATACTCTCATAAGTATCAAGGATAAGTGCGTGAAGATAATCCTCATCAGCACGATGATAAGAATATCGACGAAAAATGTAATGGAGTAACACTAGTTGGTTTTGCCAAATCATTTATAAAGGGGTGTAGAGTTTGCTAATTCAGTTGTGTATAGCTACAGAAGTAGCAGTACTCGAAGTGTCTCTTAGCAAGATATTAAAATATTTGGAAATCATAGTAAAAGCAAACGCTTTCCAAATGTAGATTGGAGAAGTTCAATAATATGGGCTGTGTAATCTTAATATCCACCTGACTGTTCTAGCTAAGCTTTGTAGGTCAACTAAAAACATCCATGTTTGGCATCATATGGTTATAGGTGAATATTAGATCTCTCTTTAATAGTGCAAGTTTGCAACCTGGTTGAAACTAGTTCCTATACCTTGTCAATGTGATGATGAGGTCTGTTGCCTTGATAGCACAAAATATAGTTTGCTATATCATATGGTGTGTTGGATAATGCAAATAACTTTACTCTCTCAGAACGACTGTCTATAGCTTGGGTTTGTATGAGATAAATTAAGGAGAATTTTCTATTTCTCTACATAAGGATATTTGTTTCCTTCTTTATGATATCCACCCTCTACAAAACGACCTTCCTCTTATTGTAGTATGATCATGTAGAGGTGTACAACTACTTTATTGATGAGAAATTAGAGACTGGGATAATGAACATGCCGTGTATATCAACCTTAATCAATTAGTAGATATTCTTTTGAGGAGTTCACAAGAAACAATCGGACAATTTAGTGCGTAAGCTAGCAAAGGAAGATATTTTGATTCTATTTTAAGGGGGTGCATCGAAAAGGAAGGATCTGTGTTTTCCAGCTACCAGATTCCTAGAATCATAACTTCATGCCAACGAGAGGGGAAAGTGTTGAAAGGGAAAGAAACTTGGTTCAGTCAGCCAACAGATTCTAGGATTAATACTTTCAGTTTCTTGTGTCCTTTTGTGGTTTCTACATATAAAGAGGACACATTTTCTCTTTCTATAGTATGATATATAAAGGTTCCATCATCTTCCCTGTTTATAGATAGAAATATCGACAAGCAAGATAAAGCTTGTCTTCTAAATGAGATATACAAGTGAAAAGTTTTTAAAAAATAGGAAGAAAGAAAGAAAACGAAAAGCTCTGGCCTCTGGAGTTGGTGTAAAATGGCAAGTCTTTTCGCAGTAGGGGTTGATATTTGAGTCCATTACAACAATGGTTACATTTTCTTAGTTTCTGGATCATATGAACTGACTGAACTTCAACATTCGCACTCTCTGAATCTCAGAATTCTGGACTTCTATATTTTGATGATTGACCGCTTTCATAACAAACAATGAGACAAATGCTTCATCCTTGTATCCCTCAGAAATTCATACGTAAACATTTTGGGCTTCGTGATGGTTGTCTTTTCTTTTTTTTGTGGATGAAAAGAGTACACTGCCCAGATATCACTACCCTAGTTTCAGAAGAAGCGTTTCCTAACATATTTTCTTCTAACATTTGAGCCATTGATGCATTTCAGGAAATCCTTCTCTTAGGCATGGCAAACCAGGAAACGGAATTGGCTTCGGATATGGCCTTAGATTCAAGTCTCAGCTGGGACATTTCCAGGTGGACTATGCAGTCAATGCATTTCAACAACGAACAGTGTACTTCGGTTTCAGTAACCTTCCTTCGTGAGTCTTAACCACAACATGACTTGCAACCATGGCATAACTTATGATCAGCGCTGCATCCATAGAGAAAATTTATGAGGATATCTGCAAGGGATCAGATGTTAGGCTCCGAGCAGTGGCCCGTCCCTCATAGGAACATCAGTGAAGATTTTTTTGAAAAGCATATTGAGCAAATTAGTGCACAGAGGTGGTTCCATTTTAGCTGTACCTCTTCAAAGATCACATAGAAATTTTTAAGTTCTTTACAGTGACCATCAGGAAGTTAGTCTTAATGTCAAAGTTCATAACCTGCTTATAATAGACAATATACACATTCAATTTCCTTTTACAAATAGAGAAATTTATCAGTTGATTCATTTACTAATCTTGAATATCAAAGTTACAAATGATATGAGTTTGATTTACTGGTTTAGCACTGGATTAAGTCTTGGTCAATTCTGTCCACAGATAAAATTGCATTGATCCCAAGAAATTATAGGTTTCTTGAGACAAACCATCTTAAACGACCATGCTGCTTGCATTTTCTGGCAGATGTGATCATTTGTTATCTTATCTATGTCATAGAGTTGAATCAAGATAAGCAAAGACATTGATTGCTACAAGTAGGAGAAAATCAACTCCTACTAAACATGTTGAATGTAAAGTAATTCATGAGCTTATGATAAACAATAAGTACATCCTTTGTCCAAAAATTCAATCTTAAAAAATAGTTAACTAGATTCTTGAAGAGAAAAATGATGAACAGTTTGAAACATTGAGTTCTGATCAGATGATAGTACTAGTACTTGCAGAAACATCGATGGACCTGTCATCCTCGTCTCGTATAGTAGTAACCATGAGAGCAACTTGGTTTATACTAGGCCTAGCCTCATGAGAATGGTTCACACATTTAACAGCAACTTGTAACAAATTAACCATCCTTTCTTCACTAGCACCTTCTTGTATCAAAGTTCTGTCAAACACTTCAACTGTCCATTCTTCTCTTAGCACAGAAACAACCCAACTTGCAAGTTCTATTCCATTGTTTTGCACTTTCCCTGTTAGCAACTCCAAAAGAATGACACCAAATGCATAAACATCTTCTTTAAAGATTGCTCCTACATTTTCATCAGTTATAGGGAAGACATTATGGGAATTGCTTGCTGTAGTAGTATTGATTTCTGCAGTGCTCATAAGGCCATATTCGCCGATAATTGGCTCCATGTTGTTGGTCAAGAAAATGTTTGATGATTTCAAGTTTCCATGTGCAATTCTGTCATGTTGAAGCTCCTGATGCATGAAAGCTAAAGCATCGGCGATACCTGCTGCTATAGAAAGTCTACTACTCCAATGAAATCTTTGGCCTGTCTGGATTCCTGAAAAGCAGATTCATGCACAAGTGTTGAAGATAATAAGGCAAACAGAGGTTTCTAACTAAAGTTCTAAAAGAGAATTTTGACCTGTTTAAATCATGAGGGGACAATAAGTACCTTAAATAAAGTATTTCACATGCCTAAAAGCCTAAATATTATTCATTGATCCAACAAAGTTAAGTAAGCAAAAGTTCGCGCTTTTTAACAGTTTTAAGTCTTTAGATGAGCACGTCTCACAATTTCATATGGTAATAGAACATATTGATATCTGACCTTTATGCACCTATTATGAATAAGAATGTTCACATGCTTAGCTGATGAAAAAGAATCAGACCTTCATGCAACTTACGTTCTTAAATGAAAGTCATAATTGATAAAACATCAACAGACACTCAAATTTTGGCCTCATCTTGCAAGTAAACACTCCAATTTTGAGTATGCACATCTAGACACCTCAACTCGTCTCCATTGTATCAGTTGAACACTCCAACTTACAAAATGATCATCTAGACAACTCCAAGATTTATGTGTTACATTAGCTTCAGGTGTCCATTAGACACAATGGGGACGAGTTGGAGTGTTTAGTTGCCAGTTGAGACCAATTTGAGGGGTCTAGATGTGCACTCTCTCAAAGTTGAGTGCTTACTTGCCAGCTGAGGCCAAGTTCGAGTGTCTGTTTATATGCCTAGATGAAATGGTCGCACAATTCAATACACAGAAGAATAGACTAGTAGAGTGAATTACCTTGTAGAAGTAGGAGAAGACTGCCATTGTCTTGGTACTCATAGACCAAAAGCTTCTCTTGTCTAGAAGAATAAAAGGCAACAGCAGGCAACACATTTGGATGCCTGATTTTGTCTAGTTTCTGCATTCTCTTCTTGAATTCACTACCAGTTATTGACCAATCTTTTATCCTCTTAACAGCCAGTGTCATTTTGGGATTGTCACACATCACTTTGTACATACTACCATGTTTCCCTCTTCCAAGCAACTCTGCTGGAGCCTTAAGCAAATCCTCAAATCTCAATCCGTTATTCGCCTCAGGACTCGTAAGAACCACGAGTGACTGTGAAACTGCGGTGTTGCTGTCATCGGAAGAAATGACAGCTGATGAGATATCTGAATTGCTCGCGCCTTTCTTTGATTGATCCATTGATGTAGTAGTACTGTCATGATCAACTGTAGCAACCTTTTTCATCAGCTCGATTCTTGATTCTTTCTTCTTCTGCTGCTTCTGCTTCCGTTTTCTATAGACGCATAGTAGGATAAGAAGAACCAGAGCCAGGCCTATGAGGAAATAACCTGAAAACATGAGAATTTCATCTCTTGACAAGCTGCTCTTTGGCTTGTCATGATCAGCTGATTCTGAATCTTCGGACAGTAATGAGCATTTTCCAGCCAACGGGGAGCCACACAACAGAGGATTTTCCATGTATCTACTAACAGGGAAACTATCACCCTCAGGCGGAATCGATCCACTGAAATTGTTGAAAGAGACATTAAATGCAACAAAGTTTGAGAAATCAAATTCAGGTATCTCTCCTGATAGCTGGTTATTCTGAGCCTCGAATTCAATCAAGCCCGAAATCCTAGATAAATCAGGGAGAACACCTGATAATCTATTGTTGGATATGTCAAGCCTTTTCAAGTTATTCAATCTTGAAAATGATTGTGGAATGCTACCTGAGAACCGGTTTCCACCAAGAACAAGATGTCTTAGATGCTTACATTTATCTATACTGTCAAAGTTTTTCCCCTGAAGTAGGCCATTTTTCAGACTCAGGAAGAAAAGGGTGTGCGCGATAGGCTCCACATTACAAATCGTGGTAACATCAAACGTTCCAGACGAAAAATCATAACCATCAAGAATGATTTTCTCCACGGAGAGAGTCTTCGCGTTACATGTAACACCAAGCCACTTGTCCTTGCAAGGATCAGATGTCGAGTTCCAGCCCGAATTAGTACCAAGAATTGTACTATTATTGTTAGATACCTCTGCAAGAAACTTGAGCAATGCATCTCTAGTCACTGTTTCATCACATACAGTTGTGTCAAAGATGAAAAAGAATGAAAAAAAGAGCAAAGCAAAAGTAAAAACTCTGTTCATTTTTGCATGATACTAGCAAATGTGCTGCAAAAATAGGATGATAATAAAGATATGATGAATCATTCAGTCATGATTATTGATATTCCCAATGTTTGAATAGTCGTAATCGACTAATTTGGCGCCATTTGGCGGAAAACACAACAACTAAAATCCAAAAACAGGCCGGCTGCTGATTTTTTCTTTAACTTCATCCTCTACTGTCTTTTTTTTCCTCTTTCAGACCATCTATCAAACACATAGATCACATATTTTATTTCGGAATAGGTGGCAACCGCGACATGAACTTATTACATATGTCTGCTCTAATATCGTGTTAAAGTTTATGACTATTTAGAAGATGTGGGATTAGTAACCCAAAATATTAGACTTGCAATATTGATAATATAAACTTTTTTACCCTCTCAGTTATATCTATTACTCCCTCCGTCCCAAAATAAGCGTCACCTTAGGCAAAATCCCATCTATTAAGAAATAATATGCACACTATAAAGAATGTGAAATATAATGGTATAATTGGTAGAAGATACAAAATTGTTTTAGATTTCTAAAGCGACACTTATTTTGAGACGAGGGAGTAATAGTCTAAATAATCTGTCACTGATGTACAGGTAATTAATTATGTCACTTTTTGCTGGCTCAACTTCTAGAGTAGTAACCAACAACTTAAGAAATAAAGCACCTTGTAGACATCCCTTTCATGAAATAATTAACAAGGACAAGTTAAACATAATATAATATATGAATTCAATCAATATTGAATTCTGAACTCATAATTTCAAAAGTGAAATGAATTCAACGCTAAGAACCTTAAAGATAACGAACACATCAGGTTCGAAGACAAGTTTAAAACAAGAACCTGAATTCTAACACATATATTAGTAAGTTACACTGACCATAAGGTGGAGAGTTTCTACAGAGACTGAAATTCATCACACATCTGTAGGTTATGTATATTGTCCCTAAACTACCTTTGGCACCTAGATTTACATACGACGACGAATCGAATATTACATGTAAGGAGAAAAATGAACTAAAACCATGATCTCCATTTAGGATCCTAGTCTATTCACTCAAGGATCAGCATGTCCAACAACTTCGTCATCGCTGTCACTCTGTCCACTGAACTCCTCTTCACTAATCTCATCATCACTCTCATCTTTTGGTGTGCCAACGACATTCTCCTTCTTTGCGTACCGTTCACAATACTCTGCATCATGAAACAACAAGTAAGATACTGTCACTGGTTTCACATTCTCAGATAAAAGAAGAATTGCAACATATAATATCTTTGTAACATGCACGTCAGCCATGGTTGTCAAATAATCACCTTTCACTTTTTGCTCATATTGATTCTTGTCTTTCATCATCAGTGAGGCTGCATCACCATTTAATGGATCCGAAGGATTCGGATATAGCAAAAGCTGTGGCAGGAAAACCTCAAATACGTTTAAGAGATCTGCACACCAGCATATGCTTGGTCAGATATCGTGGAGCTCACAGTTTATAAATGTTTTATGATGTTATCAACATGAAGATATATGGAGTACAAGACAAAACTAAATTATATGTCACTTACCTTAAATAAAACCAAGAATGACACGTCTAGTAATTTTCATTTCGAAGGTATTTTGTAACATATTCTGAACGGTGGAACAAGAGTTGAGCTTCTATTATATAAAGCTTAGCCTACAGGGTGTCACCACACAATTTTTTTTGTCTTCGATTAGTTCATATCTACAGCCTATGCTTAAAGAACCTCGAGCAGAAACACTTCAGTCATATGATAAAGTGAAATGCATACGTGTGAAACAAACTAGGCAGAAGTAAGAGCTCATGCCGTTAAGCATTTTTCACCCTAAGAATCTTAATGCTTTGTTCACTTAGCAGTACGCATTACCAAACATAGGGCTCCATGACTGATTGATGACATCCAAACATACAGAGCCAGACCTGCAATAACAGATGAATCTCGTGAGCAATAGTGCATTAACATTTTCCTCAACTACATAGACTTGTGTTACAGAGGTTCCACAAAGAGATTAAAAGATGAACTGCGGCTACCATACATACAAACTATCTACCGCAACTTCCTACATGTGACTAACAGAGAAAAAAAGGTAGTTGCTTAAAATACAGAAAGAATGTAAGAATGTATATATAGCTTACAGCTCATCAACATTAGGGTGGAATATTTTGTTGAGAAACCCAATGGAAGGAGACTTGTAAGGATAGGCATCTGGCAACTCGACCCTTATTTTCCAGACTCCACCTTCATAAAGGCCTGCAACAATTTAGATAGTTAGCAAAGTACAGGGAAAAAAAAGCATATTTACGACCAATTAAATGTATCAGTCTGCATTATCCTATGTTGCTCTGACCCATCAAAATACCTATCGCACCCATGTCGGAAGGACACGATTTGGGTGTGAGATCCACACTAAATTTGGTCAACGTCTTGACTGCTTTGACTACATCTATGACTAAGAAGTATAGACTGATTAGGATTTTGGGTTGATTATTGGTTTATATCATATATATATATATATAGTTAAAGAAAGTATGAGAATGTTTTGCTAGAACACCAGACTTATGAATAAATATTAGGTGCTTATAGGAATTAAATTTCATTAGTTGTAAGCCAACATTTTTTATTAATCAAAATATGTACTTCTATATGTCGTAATATACATTTATTGGCTGTATCCGCACTCAGGGGTTGAATGCTAAAATTTATGTGATGAAGCATCCGACGTCTAGATAAACACCTGAGTCTGAGAAACATAGTTATCTAAGCAATTAGCACCTCCAATAGCAATATCATATAATATGCAATGTGCTGCTCTGTGGGAAAAGCAACAAGCGCAAGATTCTGGTGGAAAAGCTACTTCCAAGACTGAGAGCATGAAGGTTTTGATTGGTTATTCTTATGCTAAAACGTAGAATGATGAGTGTTAGAACAGACATTTTGAGATAACTAAGATACATAATTGAAACAATTTAAATTGCTGTATCACCGTATATAAAAACTAATCCAATTAAAATTGCTGTATCACCGTATATAAAAACTAATCCAATTAAAATTGCTGCCCTCTCTTCAAAAACTAACTTTAAGAAGGAGAAAGCCAATCTAGGGGAAGATGATCCTTCAGCAAAGCCACGAATCAATAAAAGACAAAGTGAAACAAATATCTTCATGACATTACTTTCTTTTGGGCCATGAAATTCCACGTTGAACTCCGTGATTCCATCATTAATTGTCTCCACGGTGTAATCACTCATCATCCTGTAAAATGAAAATGACATAAAGAAACCACATGTTGGTAATCAAAAGCTGCCATATGAACTAAAAATGCCGGTTGATCAGATACGATGAAGAAACAGCTAAACTGTTTAGAATCTACAAAAATATATCCATGACAGCAAGAAAATTTTATCTCGGATGTTCTTACAATTTCATAACATCCATATCTCTTCTTTTGCTTGGAGAAGACATTTTCAACTAACTATTGATCCTCAGAATCTGCGGAATGAAGGCAAGGATTCAACATATAAGATTGTAAGTTCAGTAAAGAAGATATAAAAACAGAAACCAAACAATGAGATCAGCAATTACACGGCTGTTTTTGAAAGAGCATAAGAAGAAAATGGTTACAATAACGACGGATAATACAGTAACTGCAGCAAATAAGGGAACTAGACAATGCTCGACTACCTACTAACCTTCTACCCTAATCCTCGACCTCCATATCTTCCTATCTATGAACTGAAGGTGTGGTATGTCATGTCTACTCACCTTTCCCCAAGATTTCTGCGGTTCTACCTCTACCTCTCCTTATACCCAAATAGTCAACCAGAACACCTCATCATTGGGGCAATTGTGCATCTTCTCTTCAGATGCCCAAACTATCTCAATCTCACCTCCCTCATCTTACACCTGTAGGTCACTGATCCCGCCTAGTCCTGAATAGCTTCTTTGTTGATTCTATCTCTCCTAATATGCTCACACATCCATCTCAACATCCTCATTCTCCACTACTCTCATTTTCAAGACGTGCAAGTTATTGATCCACCAACACTCCACCCCATAGATAATCTAACCACCAGTTCATAAACACTAAGTGATTTATTACCATTTGTCCAAGCCTACGTAGACAGAGTTTCTGTGATGGAGGGCGACAACAAGTACCCGTGGAATTAGTCAAGGCGAACACAAGCTTATAAAAAAAAAAAGAAACTCACAAACTTGACTCCCTCAAAATACACAAATCCATTCCAAGAACCACTACACATAACAATTGATTAAAACTAAAAGAATCACAACATTCAAAGATATACACTAGTCTTGGCAATGCATAATTAAATTGGATCAGATGAAACCAAATTGAAAAAGATCAAAACTTTAGCCAAAAAAAACAAACCCATCAAATAAAAAGTACCCCTCCACAATCAAATCAATTTCATTTCTTCAAAAAAACACAACAAGAAACAAATCTAGACACATCAAAATCAAGATAAAATTGAAACTAGACTAACCAGGAGAATAATGCAAGATCTGAATGGGGAAATAAAAGAAAAAAAATAGAGAAATAAAAGGTACACAGTATATATAAAAGGGAAAGGTGTCGACATGTTGGGCATTAGGCAGAGTTACAGAGTTGAAAAAAGGCACGTGCAATGTATACAAAAGAATGATACTAACACCTACGTGGCTTTGATTATTGTGCGTTACCTTTCTTTTCTTTTTTTCTTCTGAAAATTGTTGAGAAATTTTTACAATTCCTCCTTACCCTTCGCACTTTGGCTTCTTCTTCAAAATTGCATCCATGGCTGTAGCTCAACAAAAAGGTAACCCACTACCCACCATGTCACTATAATTACCCGTATTTAGCTCCTCTCCGCAACCTCAAATCTATATTACCTCCAAACCACCACGGGTTTCGAGTTCGAGCTTATGGGACAAAAGAACATAAACTCAGTTTAAATGGTCAATTTTTATCATC